GGTTTGCTGCATTTGTTTTTCAGTCTTCCAAATGTTAACACATGTCATTAGACAGTATAAGAAATACTACATGTTAAATCAGCTCCTACCTTATTGAGTCTTTAAATAATGGGAAATGTCAGGTTCATCATAGCACAGGCAAGACTTCAGAAACTCTCATTGTTTTTACTTATGAGCTCAGTTTTTATCATGAGCCACCAAATCTGTCAGAGGCCTCCCCATTCCCAATGAAATGGGCTTATTTTTATTCATTTTCAAAAAAAGTGTCAAACACACGAGTCTGAATTAACACAGTCTGTCTGTCAGTTACAACTTCAAGTGAAAATGGAGTGCCAAGAAAAGAGCAAACTAGCTTGGCTGCTAGCTCAGATAACTCACAAGAACTCCTTGCCTCAAAGCCACTATCATATATTTGTATGCAGCAGAAGGACATTATACGTAATTCACAATTGAACAAAGGATATTAAAAAGACATCTATCAGAGTCAAAATCTAATGCAATTAATGATTTTTACTATTCCATCAAGGATACCCCTAAGAGAGAATTTTTTTAAAAAATCATGCTTGAAAGAGAAGAAACATATGCCAACTGGAATCTGGCTCTGCTGGCTGTCTTGAGCTACCTGTTCAACTGCCAGACATTTCCTCATGATTATTTTTACCTCATTGACGAAGTCTCCATGCAGGGAAGAAAGCAAAAAGGTCCCTGTGCATTACCAGGGAAGTCTTTTAACTTCCTTAAGTTTCCTTGGCAAAGGTTCTCAGGTTCACCAGAGTCCTCCCTTGGACACTGGCAGGAGAAAAGGGACATGGAGAGAGGCATCGAGATTAACATCTGATAAGCTACTTGCCAAAGAAGACTAGGAACCTCCTCCCATACAGGCTACATATATAAACAGGGCATTAAAAAAAAAAAAGCCTGCCATATATAAGCTCCAGAAGGCAGCTCGAGTCTCCCAGCTCAGTGCTTCTGAGCTCATGCCTTTCCTAGCCCACAGACATACTCAGGAGCATACTCCTCTTTTTTAACATACTGTCTCTATTTCTGTTACTAACCACCTGTCCCTGGTGTACTGCTTTGTACAGGGGTCTCTGATCCATGCACATAACAGGAACACACTCTGGGAGCACAGTTTATCCTGGGATTAAGTCAGTTAACGTTCACAGAGCATTCAGCCGCCATGGGAAGAAAATCTACCTGCTAGTGTCCATTAGAGCATGGTTCCATGGAACAAAACTGCGTCTTCCTATGGAATGCTGGATCTTGAACTTCATCCAGAACACATTTGCTTCTGGCTTTCTAAATAGCACACATAAATCAGACTACAGTCTTTTACGTCAATAACTATTAAGCCAGAGAAGTTGTTCCATTTAAAGAAAAACAGGTGTTCCTGTTTTCAATTACCTCAGAATTCCAGAGAAGCTGAAATATTGATTTGATTATTTATTCTTTCACTCAACAAATATTTATTAAAGACCTACTAGGACTCCTATGAGAAGGGAATACAGATGTAAACTTAAAAACAGAACAGAATAAAAATTCAAACCTTTGTGAACTTGTTTTCTAGTGCTGGAGATAAACAGTAAACAAGTAAGGGAAATGTATAGGACAGCCTGTTTGGTGAAAGCCTATATCTCTTTTGTACAAATTACTTCATAAGTAGTTGATAAATAGGGAGACGATATGGGTATGAAGCTGAGAGTCACACTTATTTATGCATCGTTTCCCCCCAGAATATTAATGCTACAACATTTGCACAAACAAGTTTTATCATTTTTTAAAGAGGGAAACCTAGAATTAGGGACACAACTAGCAGCAGCAGCAGCAGCAGCTGCCTATGTTGAAAGTAAGAATAATAAATCTGTGTGCTGATAGGTGTGGTGGTAGCTGGTTTACCTGCTGCAGGAACTACAGCACTTTCCACTGCATCACACTATGCAGAGGTGCTGGGATTGGGGGTAGATGGAGAAGCCAGAGGCTTTCTTCTTCATATTCAAACAGAAACCCAATAAGAAACTTACTTGGATAAATATTTTTTTGAATGGAAATTCCCATAGGGTTTCTGTTTTGATGTGTGTGTGTGTGTGTGTGTGTGTGTGTGTGTGTGTGTGTGTGTGTGTGTGTGTGTGTGTGTGTGTGTAGACCAGATATCAACCTCAGATGCCCTTTCTCATGTACTGTCCACCTTGATTTTTAAGATAGGATCTCTCACTGGTCTGGAACTCACAAAGAAAGCTGGCGTGGCTGGCTGGCCAGCAAACTCCAGGGAATCACAACTTTCTCTGCCCCTCTACTGGTGGGATTACAAGGGGCCTTGCTCCACAATATGAGTTCTAAGAATAAAACTCAGTTTTTAAAACTTTCATAGCAAGCACTTTATGAAGTAAGGCCTCCCCGGCTCAAGTTCCATATATTTTGAATGGCTTGTCCAATAGAATTTCCCCCATAAATCATATTATGTTGATGTATAATTAGATAATGTATGGGATTATTGTGAACACATATGGGAGAATAAGAGAAATACATGCATATAATACAGTGATACTCTAAAGACAAAATATGAGAAGAGAGGAAAAGAGATTTAGGGGAAGGGGTGGCAATCTTAAAGGATGGAGGTAAGATGGCTTCCCTGAGGTAAAGCCAGCCTCACAGTCAGTGCTTCAGCAGTGGCAGAGCACTGCAGAACCCTGGGGAGGTGTGAGTCTAGACACTGTAGGAAACTTACATGGTTGAGTGGAGGAAGTGGCTAGGGGGAGGAGATAGGCTACAAAGCCAAGAACAAGTGGCCATTGGGACTCTAGAGTTTACAGCAAACACTGGGAGCCAATGCCCCCTCTATGCCATGTATAAAGGGTCAACACCCAGTCAGATTCATACACAAGACAGTCAATTAACACCTGGAATGGCACAATCTCAAATCATTAGCTGTATATAGAAAAATCTTTGATTTAAAAAACAAAGTTTTGCAAAGATATGGAACACACAAATTAAATAACATTAAAAACAATTTAAGCCGGGCGTTGGTGGCGCACGCCTTTAATCCTAGCACTCGGGAGGCAGAGGCAGGTGGGGGGCTGTGAGTTCGAGACCAGCCTGGTCTACAAGAGCTAGTTCCAGGACAGCCTCCAAAGCCACAGAGAAACCCTGTCTCAAAAAACCAAAAAAACAAAACAAAACAACAAAAAAAAAACAATTTAAACAAGTTGTTATGAGATAAGTCTGCAATCCCAGCATGCTGAGAGGCTAAGATACAGGAGGATTGAGAAATTGAGACCAGTTTGGGCTGAGATCCTACCTCCATTAATTAGTAATAGTTAAGCAATTTAAAATGTCCTATCCTTGAACCTGTTTTTTTTTTTTTTTAGCCAAAAAAACCTTAAAGATTTACATAAGTTCTAACATAATTTTACTTTGAAATATTGTTATGTTTTAAATCACTCAGTAAATTAAGCTCAATTCCCATAATCATTCCTAGTGAAAATAATTCTGTAAGAGAAAAGGAAATTAATCAGTGGATAACATTCCTAAATAAGATCAGCAAACGTCTTATCCAAATTCTCCATAGCCTCAGTGTGTCAGCGCTCCAACTGCAGTGTTATGGTGACTGCCTCGTTTTCTTCCCAGGTAGGACAGGATATGAGCTTCAAGACAGGCAAACGTGAGAAGGTCTTGCGTGAATGAAGTGGAGCTCAGAGTTGCTCACCCAAGCATGAGGGCAATTTTGTTTTTCCTCAAAAAAATTCATTTTAACAAAACATTCTTTACTTGAAAGACAAAACAATCTTACGAATGATTTGTTTTATTCCTGAAGATACAATGCCTAAAGCCCCTTTTGGCTTACTTAACTAGACCTTCCAAGGCCGACACAGACAGAAAGAATAAAAAAATTACTACATAAATATATTTTCCTCCTTTTTCTTCACATTATCAGGTGTCTGTAGACAATTTATCAAGACATATCATATCCTAGTCTGAAAAAAAAAAAAAAGAAAAGAAGAAGTAAAACCTCCAAAAGTTGAAATGATCTGAACTCATAGTTATACTCTGACTCTAATTAATTCAGACTAGCAATAAATATGAAAAAGAAAATCATCAAATACCAAGAAACCAAGCAATATGCTTTGGGGGTGAGGAATGAGTAAAAAAAATCTGTCATAAAATAAAAAAATATTGAATTCAATGAAAATGCAATATGTCAAAAAATAATGTGGGATGCAGCTAAGGTGGCATAGACAGAAGAATCAATAGCACACACACAAAAGAGCTTACATTACAAAAACGGGGGGTAAAACCAAATCAACAACCTAACTTTCTACCTCAAAAATCAAAGTAAACCTGAAACAAAATTCAACAGATAAAAACAGTGGCTCATCATCAGTGGCCTGGGAAGACAGGAGCTGAACTAACAAGCAAAATCAAGGCAAGAGGATCATCAAGGGAGGAAGCCAGTGTCACCAAAGACCCTGTGGCCATTAGGATCCCACAGAAAACTTCAAGCTCATAAAGGTGATATCTTCAATGACAGGAAATAATTCCTGGACAGCAGTAAACATAAAATTCATGGAAAATGGACCAGCCGGGAGAGTCCTGTAACAGTCAGAGAAATGAAGTCCTTCCTCCAAGGCTTCTTAGTAGAGCATCTATAGATGACACTTTGGGTTCCTCAGAGGTTTCTACTAGCAAGAGTTAACAACAAACTGGGATCTTGTCCAGAAAGAGGACAAGAAGGTGTGTTTCCTAGGCCATTCTAGAGCACCATACCACCTGCTCTAAAACCCTGACAAAGGCATTCTAGAAATCATCTGTAGATACATAGCACTTGTGAACTTAGATACCAAACATTAGCAAGTCAGAGCTAGCTCAGCAGGTAAAGGTACTTGCCACCAAGCTGGCAGAGCCCAGTTGGACCTCTAGGATCCATGTGGTAGAAGAAGAGAACTACTCTCACCTTTGTCTCTGATCTCTACACACAAAATAAATAAAACTTTTGAAATTATTTTGTATTTGCTTTGGCAGTACACATACTAAAATTACAATGAAACAGTGATTATCATGGCCCCTTCACAAAAATGAGACAAAAATAAATGAAGCATTCCATATTGTGTTAAAATGATCAGAACACATATGAAAATCTCAGAGAATTAATAAAAATATTTTAAACACAGTAAGATTAATTTTAATTTTTAAAATCAGATTATTTTTAAATGCTTAATTTTAAAATCATGACCTGCTGGAAATTATAAAATGCTAATAAAATCCAGTAATGTACCAAACATGGGGATATTTCAGGCATACAAGGCTGGTTCAATATAAAAATTAGCACAGTCTACTGTATAAATGGGATAAAAGCATCATTTATCTATCAAATGATGCAGAAAGATACTGACACAATTCAAACTTCATAATTTTAAAAAGACAAAGAACCTTCACCAACTGGGAACAACAGGGAATGTTCTTATTGTCACTATAAAACCCTACATCTAATCAATGTTCAAACCTGAATGTCTTTCCTTGAACTTGGTAGTCATTCAAGAATGCCAGCCCTGATCCTTGTACTACAGAAAGGCCTGTCCACCGGAAGATGGAAGAAAAACATGAATAAAAGACATGTTTCAGAAGGAGGAAACAAAAGTGCCCCTTTTGGTAGATGACTCAGTGTTCTATACAGGAAATCTGCAGAAGCTGGTGCATGCAGCCCTGAACTGGCACAGGAATCTGAGGAGCCTACAGCACACGGATCCCCACAGTCAAGGCCCCATGTAAATAATGAACACACTGAAGACAAGAGACTTGTGAAACCACAAATGATACCCTCAATAAGGGACTATTTAGTTTTAAACTATGACCTGCTTGAAATTATAAAATGCTGATTTCCAAAATCAGTAAAGGGGGAAGGGGCTGAAAAGATGGCTCAGCTGTTAAGAGCACTTTCTGTTCTCATAGAGGAACTGACTTTGTTTCCTAGCACCCATACAGGGCCGCTCACAACCACCTGTAACTCTAATTGCAGGGAGGGGGTTGACATCCTCTTCTGACCTACACAAGCACCTGCACGTGTGTGGGCATGCACACATCTGTTCGCATACACAAATACAAAATAAAATAAATCATTTAAAAGAGAAATTTAACTCTCAGGTGGCAGAGGCAGGCGGATCTCTGAGTTTGAGGCCAGCCTGGTCAACACAGTGAGTTCTGGGACAGCCAAGGCAGTAATAGAGAAACCCTGTATTGAAAAAAATTAAAAAACCAAAATTTAAAATAAATATAAATCCTCAGGAAGACATTCATGCTCAGAGAATGAAAGAGTAGACACAGTAAAGTTGTCAAATCTGTACAAGTACACCATAAAAGTTAACAAAGTCCTGTTAAAACACCAGCAAGAACTTCCATTGATATGCACAAGGTTATTCTAAAATTTATATGGAAAGGCAAAGGCACTAGACTATCTAAGACAATTTTGAAAAGGAATAAAATGGGAGAAAATTGTTCCTCGTGATGTGAAGGCTTATTCTACCACAGTAATAAAGCTGGCCTGGTACTGGCAGCAGGGTCAGAGAAATAGATTGGGGGCCATAGGAAAGGCCAGACACAAGACAGACAGCCAAGTGACTTCTGACAAGGGTGAAAAGCAAACTCGGCGGAGAAAGGACAGCCTCTAAAATGAAAGCCATTAGAACCAACTTAGAAACCCAGAAGGCAAAAGAATAAAAGTCCATCTAATCTTCATACGGCATGCAATATCAACTCAAAATGGATCATGGACATGAATGCAAAACTACAAAACTTTTAGAAAAATACCAAGCATGGGAAGAAAGATCTGGAATGTAGTGCCAGGCATAGGCTCTTAGGAGGAGCAGGAAGAGAATGCTACATGTGGTGAGAGTTGGCTCAGTGGTTAGGAGCCCTTGCTGCTCTTGCAGAGGACTTGAGTTCAGTACCCAGCACCCACAAAAAGTGGCTCACAACCACCTGTAGCTGCTGTTTCAGGGGACCTAACACCCTCTTATGGACTCTGTGGGCACCAACATGTGCACATACATACACACAGAAACATGTATATAATTTAAAAATTAAAGATAATAAATAAAAAGCATGTTACATTAAAAAAGAGATGGAATTTTATCAATTTTGATAACATTTGATCTGCTAAAGACCCTATACAGAAGATGAAAAGACTATCAGGCATAGATGGGGAGGGAGCATGTACACAGTATAAACCTGGAAAAAGACTAGAACCTAGTGTGTAAAGAATCCTCAAAACCCAACAGCACAGTCTAACCAAACAGGAAATGAAAAGACAGACACTCAAAGATTCCATTGCAGGGGATCTGCAAGTGGGAAATAACCACATGAAAGGTTTTCAGCATCATTAGCCATTAGAGAAATGTGAATTAAAACTACCACATGATGAGGGCTCCAGAGATAGCTCAGCAGTTAAGACTGCTCTTACAGAGGACCTGAGTTTGGATCTCAGCACTCACATTGAGAAGCTCAGAATTTCCTGTAACTCCAACTCCAGAGAATCTAATGCCCTGTTTTGGACTCTACAGGTACCTTCATCCATGTAGTGCACACACACACACACACACACACACACACACACACACACACACACACCATTTTTAAAAACTACCCACAAGTTCTCAACTGCAGACTTTCTGGAATGGCCAAAGCATCAATGCATCACCCATGTTCCTAAAACCGTAAGGCATGAGGTCACTCACACACTGCTGGTAGATAAATAAAGCAATACTCTGAGGAAACAGGCTGGTGCTTTCTCATGAAACTATACAGGTACATCCAGCTCAGTCCTGCAACTGTACTCTTGGGCATTTGTTCCAGAGAAACAAAGACATACGTTCTCATGAAAATCTACACTTGATGTTTATAACAGCTTTAGTCCCCACAGCTAAAGGTGGCTTGAAGCCAGGTACCCTTTCAAAGGTGGGAGGCTGTACACACTGCAGCGCACCCACAGCAAGGAACCTTTACAACTGGTAATAAAATAGAACAAACTAGAACCAGCAACCTGCAGACCAGTTTGCAGAGAGAGAAAATGGTGACACACACTATGACACATTTTATATAACATTCTTAAAATGTCAGAATTATAGTAGGTATTAGTGGTCACCAGAAAATTGTAGCCTGGAGAGATACAAAAATAAGTGGGTGACCCAAAAGAATGTTCTTTAGCTGGCAATGTAGATGTCAGTGGCCCAGTTGAGATGTCAGACTATAATTTTATCGTACTTGGAAAATCTTAATTAAAAGTATTAAAGGACAAAGGTCCTTTAATTGTTTCTAGCAATTGCAAATAAATCTATAGTTGCCTAAAAATAAAACTGTAAGTGCATTGATAAGGAGTAAAATAAAAAATAAATAGAAGCAATTATGTTTTTAAAAATTATTTTACTTTTATACATGTGTATTTGTATGTGGGTTTCTACACATTAAGTGCAGATATCCTTGAAGTCCAGAGGAGTGTGCTGGATTCCCTAAAGCTAAAGTTATAAGGCAGTTATGAGCTTCTGGGAACTGAACTTGGGTCTTCTGCAAGAGCTGTAAGCTCTTTTAACTGCTGAACCATCTCCCCAGTCCCAGGAGAAAATGTTCTGATCACATATCTGACAAGGATTTTTTCTGTTTATAGAAAGAATACCTATTTCTCAGTGACAAGAAAGACAAATGAAAATGATAAAAAAAATTCACACTTGTGCACCCTAAAGGGAGATAGACATGTGGCCAGCAAGCACATGGAAAGTTCTCTACACTGTCACCATAGACTGTAATTTCAAAATTGGGGGGGGGGAACAGCACTGAATGCAGGCAAATATGTACAGAACTGCCCCATTCATACATTATCGGCAAGAATGGATAAACTCTCCCTCATGGTCATCTGTGTATCCCTCCTCCCATTTGCCTGGTCACATTAGAAAGAAACAGTATAATTAATACTATTGCTTCTTCTTCAGATTTAAATACCTTGTCAAACAGTGGAGACAAAAGACTCTGGTGAGGCCCATTAAGGGAAAACTATCTCTTTCTGGTCAACAGAATGGAATCTGAGTCCACCTCTGGCTCTGGGGGAGATAGGACATTCTGATCTGCTCCAAAGGTTAGAACATTACATACAATTGTCTTCTCCTGTAAGAGTTAATTGACTGGGTTGTCAATCACCTGGTCTACTGCTCAGGAAGGCTGATTTCTCTGAAGATGACCAAGGAGATGACAGGAAGAACTATCTTTAAGGAGATCATATGTTTAAGAACCCTAAAAGCCCTACCCTTGGGGCAATTGCTTATAGATCTTCACTGCTCAGTCTACTTGCTTTTCCAAGTGTTCACTCAAAAGGATAACTTTTTCCGTTTCCTTCTCTTTGTTTCTGGGGTACTGGTAAAAAGCCTAGTAACGCTTTCCCTGATATCCTGGACCTTCCAGCTCTTTCTCTGAAGCTCCTATACCTCATTCTTCTGCTCAGTGGCTACTTTCCAGTCTCCATCGTGGATCTCTCTTCTTCTTCCCTATCTCTCTCTTCCAGGCAGCTGTGGAGATTGTCATCTTGCCTATTCAGTTGTTTTCCTTTCAAACTCTAATGCAATTGTTCCTGAACTTCCTTCTCTAAGCTCTTTTGGCAGTATGAGTTCTACAACCTGACAATCACAGAGTGTTTACTTACTATAGACCTAGGAGGAAATAATTTTAACCAATATTTAAGGTGTTACCACAGAGGTTCACATAGCTGATAATTCTTCCTTTTAAAAAATCAAAGCCAGGATTAGTGGTGGTGCATGCCTTTAATCCCAGCACTAGGTAAGCAGAGGAAGACAGATCTTGGAGTTCAAGGCCAGCCTGGTCTATAGAGCGAGTTCCAGGATAGGGAAAAACCATGTATGTATGTATGTATGTATGTATGTATGTATGTATAGTCAGACAACAGTTAGGCAACTTGTTGAAGGTCACACAAAAGAAAACATGAAGTTAGATTAAATTCCTATAATCTAACTAATTCCAACACCATGCAAAGTGAAAGAAAATGACTATGATTATCCTTGCAGAAGTAGGAACTAACTTTTATGACTGCAAAACAGTTCGCACTTTGGTTCC